GTCAAGCAATATTCCAGCAGCTCCAGCCTTTGGTGTTTACATTTCGCAACTTTTGAGATACAATCGAGCATGCTCTTTCAACCAAGAGTTCATACGACCCTCGCTCAAGAGTTGTTTGATCAAGATTACAACATTCAAGGCCTCAGTTAAGTTTTCGAAAAGTTTTATGCTAGATATTTGAGGACATTTCCAAATTTGACGCATCAGTGACAAAAATGATGCCCCATGCAATTCCCTATTTTGACTTGTACCATATGTTCCCATGTTTATTTAGGAGAACAATTGACTTGCCTTTGCATGTATTTATGACGGGTGCCATCGGTGGGGTAGGATATGCTCACCTTTTCGCGAAGACCTGGTATCATTACTATTTGATAGAGATTCATAAACACATGCTCATGATACAGTCGTAATTTTAAATCAACTGTGCTTTATGCAGAGATTTCTATTGGATATGAAATTGTTTTGTCGCCATATTTTATTAGAAGGTCAGGGAACCTGTTTGAGAAATGAGGGATGCCGGTATCATATTTTAGTACATTACCTTGTGTAAATGTAGGCGTGCAGGTTTGCAATATTAACTGGGAGATTATACGTTGACTTTGTTGTTGTGCTGTTTGGTCAATCCTTTATTAACAATCAATTTGAATATATAAAAATTAATCCCTTTAACTTTGAGATATTAAATAAATAAACAGCGCCCTAAAGCCTGAAACTGTACGCGAGAACAACGTTCAAAAGTGTATTTGTGATAATTCAAGTGAAGTGAGCGTGTCCTAAACTTTCTTTGTGACTGCAACAAGTTCATTTACATAAACACTGACACAAGACACAAGACACAACACACAAGACCCTCGTTGCAGAGCATCTTAGTCAACACACTGTTCACCTGCCGCTGTTGTCGAGATCCTCAGTCAATACTCTGTTCACCTGCTTCTGTTGTAGAAAACCTCAGTCAATACACTGTTCACCTGCTACTGTTGTAGAAAACCTCAGTCAATACACTGTTCACCTGCTACTGTTGTGGAGAACCTCAGTCAATTCACTGTCCACCTGCTACTGTTGTGGAGAACCTCAGTAAATACACTGTTCACCTGCTACTATTGTGGAGAACCTCAGTCAATATACTGTTCACCTGCTACTGTTATGGAGAACCTCAGTCAATAAACTGGTCACCTACTACTGTTGCAGAGTACCTCAGTCAATACACTGTTCACCTGCTACTGTTACGGAGTACTTCAGTCAATACACTGTTCACCTGCTACTGTTGTAGAAAACCTCAGTCAATACACTGTTCACCTGCTACTGTTGTGGAGAACCTCAGTCAATTCACTGTCCACCTGCTACTGTTGTGGAGAACCTCAGTCAATACACTGTTCACCTGCTACTATTGTGGAGAACCTCAGTCAATATACTGTTCACCTGCTACTGTTATGGAGAACCTCAGTCAATAAACTGGTCACCTACTACTGTTGCAGAGTACCTCAGTCAATACACTGTTCACCTGCTACTGTTACGGAGTACTTCAGTCAATACACTGTTCACCTGCTACTGTTGCAGAGTACCTCAGACAATACAATGTTCCCCTACTACTGTTGCAGAGAACCTCAGTCAATACACTGTCCACCTGCTACTGTTGCAGAGAACCTCAGTCAATACACTGTTCACCTGCTACTGTTGTGGAGAACCTCAGTCAATACACTGTTCACCTGCTACTGTTGCAGATAACCTCAGTCAATACACTGTTCACCTGCTACTGTTGTGGAGAACCTCAGTTAATACCCTGTTTACCTGCTACTGTTGCAGAGAACATCAGTCAATACACTGTTCACCTGCTCTGTTGTCGAGATCCTCAGCCAATACACTGTTCACCTGCTACTGTTGTGGAGATCCCCAGTCAATACACTGTTCACCTGCTACTGTTGTGGAGATCCGCAGTCAATACACTGTTCACCCGCTTCTGTTGTGGAGATCCGCAGTCAATACCCTGTTCACCTGCTCTGTTGTCGAGATCCCAAGTCAATACACTGTTCACCTGCTTCTGTTGTGGAGATCCGCAGTCAATACACTGTTCACCTGCTCTGTTGTCGAGATCCCCAGTCAATACACTGTTCACCTGCTACTGTTGTGGAGAGCCGCAGTCAATACACTGTTCACCTGCTTCTGTTGTGGAGATCCGCAGTCAATACAATGTTCACCTGCTACTGTTGTGGAGATCCGCAGTCAATACACTGTTCACCTGCTACTGTTGTGGAGATCCGCAGTCAATACACTGTTCACCTGCTTCTGTTGTGGAGATCCGCAGTCAATACACTGTTCACCTGCTTCTGTTGTGGAGATCCGCAGTCAATACACTGTTCACCTGCTTCTGTTGTGGAGATCCGCAGTCAATACACTGTTCCCTGCTACTGTTGTGGAGATCCGCAGTCAATACACTGTTCACCTGCTACTGTTGTGGAGATCCGCAGTCAATACACTGTTCACCTGCTTCTGTTGTGGAGATCCGCAGTCAATACACTGTTCACCTGCTTCTGTTGTGGAGATCCGCAGTCAATACACTGTTCACCTGCTACTGTTGTGGAGATCCGCAGTCAATACACTGTTCACCTGCTACTGTTGTGGAGATCCGCAGTCAATACACTGTTCACCTGCTACTGTTGCAGAGTACCCCACGTCTTACATTGCTCACCTTTTTGAACAGGTCACTACTCCCAATTGACAACATATTATAAAAAAAAAATGCAGTAATAAGAATGAATATCATTACCCACCACTTTCTAGTTACTCGTGCACTTGTATATACTTTCAATATATATCTCACTTTTGTCGGCTTTATGAATTTAAAATTAAAGACATAAATTTAAAAATTAAGTACACAAACGCCTTTGGAACTGGTTATCTCCTTCCCACTTGGATGTCCTTCAGAACAACGTGATGTCAATTCAGTGCGTATTTCACAATGTATTTTGACATATCGTTCGTGAGTGTCTTACATACAATTGTGATTTTCACCAACAACATATAATGTTTTTAGAACATCCAGCATGGCCAGTGAACGAATTAAATCTTTTGATAAAAACGAAGGACAAATGGTTTTAATGGCCTTTTGGGGAACAGATGTATTTCTATATAATCCTCAGCAATAGCATTTGGATTTTTGTCATCCGCATTCGCTGAAAACCTATTGACGTTGGTATCATGTTAATTCAAAGTTTAAGCACTGTTGAATTTAAATTTAGATAATTGAAAGACCAGTGCTAATCAAAGGTAGCCATCGCATGTTCAAGCTCTGATTAACCCCATAACGAGGCATGAAGTGTCATTGCTGGTTTTCAGTGATCCATTCATATAATCTTTACCACTTATTTGCCTTTTACACCCAAAGAAATCTGTTTCTGCAGATAATCGAGACTAATTATTCTCTGTCATTGACGTTTCATATTGACACAGTATTAAACAGGTGGAAGGATGAAACAGGTCCAAGCTCCGAAGTCATAGTGATATACTGTTTCACTTTTACCATCCGACGGATACTGGTCGCCAATACATAGTAAAGACTTTCTGACGTTCTAACCGAGCCCGATGCGTTCCTTCACATTATCCGTCTGCAGTACAATCAGTGAGCTAATCCTATGCCTTATAACGTCAGTCAGACCCAAGATTGGTACGCGGGATTCGGGAATCTATTTAGAGGGTATTCGGGACTCAGCAGTGTGGTTCGAGAGACGCACATAAAATCGTATTTTGTACGCAGATTCAAAATTCTAAAAAAATAACAGGGTGCACGTAACAAATTCGTTTATATATTTTAGGTATTAGATATTTTTCAGTATTGTAAACCCAATCCCATACCGCTCATCCTACACCCATGATCACAGACCACAGACTGTGTTGTCTTTTGCACGAAAAGACGATTGAACTTAATCTGTGAGCCAAAACACAGACAATTGAACTCTCAGTCTTATGGTCACTGCTTTCTCAGTTAGTTTTGAAAGATGATACACGTGGTTGTAAATTGTAACCTTATATTAGGGCTGGCTCACAAAGGGCTCGCAAATATAGTCTGCACGAATCTTTGATAATGAGATAAATTTGACACATGTCTGCAATGTTTTCGAGTTTTCGAGACAAGGCCACTTTCAAAAGAGGTCTCTTCACGATTATCAGGAATATATCAGGAGTAACACTATGTTTACACTATCGCAATTAAAGGCTCTTGGGACAACTAATGCCATAGGATAATGCTCTTGGCGGTAGTGACTAGTGATGTGTATTGTGTCCTCGGGTATTGAGCTTTTTGCTATGTCAAGGATATCCGTTAAATTCATCGATTGTTTGGCTATTGTTATTTGAATAATATGCATAAAGGTCATAAAATGTCATGTTCTCGCTTGGAGGAACGGACGTTTTTAATCTATTGATAACACAGTTTGTGTTTTGTAAATTCGTGCCACACACACCGGCTGTCAAACGTATGTCTAAAGCTTCAGAGGGCATAAGGATGGTGTAAAGCTGAGGGTTAGAGAGGTGCAGTTCAGACACAATGTTACGGGGGTGTCTCTGCGTGGAGAGAGAGATAAGCAGAGGGCTCAAGGGCTTACTTGACTGAAGAAATAACAATATCGTCCAAAGGTAGACGCGTTTAAATTCAATGCATTCAACTTTGACTCATATTTCGTAATATGCACTGAATGTGACTTTTACACCTGGTGAAAAGATAAACGGAGTTGGGTCCGTTTGGTGGAACCATTGCTGTCATGTGTTTGTAATGAGGAACCTTTATATGCTGGCTCCAGTGTTTAACCTGCATCAGTATACAACTCAAATGGTTGCCAGTAGGGTCACTTGTTTCATTCACCATGGTGTTCGGTTACCTAAATTGGAACTGAAACCTAATCTTTTAACTGTGATTGAATTGAACGCTGTTCCTCATTGTGTCAAGTAAATATATAAACAGTCGCAGAAACACATCCAAAGACTATAAAGCTAGTGGTCAGTTTATCACCGTCATTCCATCCTACATTTTCTGTCCATCATGTTGCTGCTCCTGGTCACCCTGTCCTGCTTGGCGGCAGTCAAGGCTCAAGGCGTACCTTGCTGCATGGAACCTCAATGGTCAGCCACAATGTTTGACGTTTTCGCGCTCCCCCAAGCAAATAACGTAAGTTTATCACAGCGACATTTACATACGTATCGCTGGGTACTATTATTATGTGTGGCGTGTAAGAGATACAACTACAAATATAGTTCATTTGAGTACTCCCCAAAATGATGATGATAAAAAGTAGTGGTAGTGGTAGTGGTAGTGGTAGTATTGAAAGTAGTAGCAGTAGTACTAGTAGCAGTAGTAGTAGTAGTAGTAGAAGTTATAGTAATAGTTGCAGTAATAGTAGTAGTTGTAGTAGTAGTAGTAGAAATAGTTGTAGTAGTAGTAGCAGTAGTAGAAGTAGTATGTCTGTATATCAAGAACCATCTTTTAAAGCATTCTTCATTAATATCAAAACAATTTCTTTCAGTTTCCGTTATTGATATTCAACGACAGTGTTTTCAAATCTAGAACAAACCGATTGTAATACGTTTGGAAACGTATTCCTTCCCGTGGCCTGTAAAAGTTCTCCCCTGATGGTCTATATTTCAGGTATCAGCTGACTTCTACTACGACTTCACCAACCAAGCCACTGCCATCCAGTATTATCAGTATGGATCACCGCAACGTGTGAAGACAAACAGAGTTGTCACGTCGTACGAAAAGGTAGTTCCATACATTTGTACATGGGGAAATTGTCCAAGAGGACTCGAAATTCCATAGTTCGTTACCCTCGTACCTACAGTTCACTGAGGCATGGTTCACCCTGTATTGTACGGTTCATTGAGGTATGAATCACCCTGTATTGTACGGTTCATTGAGGTATGAATCACCCTGTATTGTACGGTTCATTGAGGTATGAATCACCCTGTATTGTACGGTTCATTGAGGGATGAATCACCCTGTATTGTACGGTTCATTGAGGGATGAATCACCCTGTATTGTACGGTTCATTGAGGTATGAATCACCCTGTATTGTACGGTTCATTGAGGTATGAATCACCCTGTATTGTACGGTTCATTAAGGGAGGATTGACCTTGTTACCTAGAGTTCACTGAGGTATGAATCACACTGTTTTGTACGGTTGACTGAGTTATTATTCACCCTGTTATCTACAGTTCTGTTACCTATGGCTCACCGTGTTATGTACGGTTCATCTAGGGATGATTGACCCTGTTATCTACAGTTCACTGAGGTATGAATCACCCTGTTATGTACGGTTCATTAAGGGATAATTGACCTTGTTACCTAGAGTTCACTGAGGTATGGATCACCCTGTTATCTGACCGCCTCCTTGGTCAAGTGGATAGAGCGTATGCTCGGAGAACTGAAGGTCAGCGGTTCGATCCCAGGTCTCTTCATACCAAAAGACGGTAAAAGGTGGTACTTGTTACCCTGCTTGGCGCTCGACAGTCAACCGAGGTATCATCCAACCAGATGCCTACAGTCCATTGAGGTACATGTATTACCAATCAGGTGCCTACATGCCATTGGCTATGACAAATCTGATTCAACGTGGTTTAGTCCACAACAGTGTGTCATTACCTGCATTACTGTTTATAGTATATGATTTTGACTTTGCAGAATGAACAATACTACATCGAGGCTGATGGAACATGCACCAAACATGTCCCAACTGACGTCCTCCTGCCAAACTGCATCCCGAGTAGGTGTCTACGTCAGGTCCACAATTATACAATATATAGATGCTTACAGTTGCCCTTACTATCTGAGAGTCAGTATATGTTAATAGTCAGTGGTGGGACACAGCACACGACCCTTCCGGGATTTGTTTCGAATTTTGAATTTTGATGTTAACTAGAAGTTTGCGTTTGAATCATTTAAGTTTCCCGTAAGATGTAGTGAGAACTGTTAACGTCTCTGGTATACTCCATCTTTATAATTGTCTGTTTAAATTGTTTCACATTTTGAATTTGTTCTGATGGAACATGTGTGTGTCTCTGTCGACAACTACGAAACGGATGCCCATGCTGGTTAATTTGCATTTGAAACCTATAATTCAATTATCATCCTTGGTATTTTTGCATCATGCTCGTTATGGTAGAGTTCCACCAAGTCGTAAACCTCGACGATGTCATTCAATACACTCGTTTCCCACATTTGAAACACATACAACTGAAATACTATAATAAGAGGCTTATAACCCAAATAATAGTTACAGTAACAGTAATATAAGTTGTCTCCTCCCACTTAGACGACAGTACAGACCTTGGCTCCAGCTATATCGGCACCGAGGCAAGCGGACTGAAGTCTGACACCTGGCTTATAACTATCGGTTCAGTCAACTTAACCGTGGGCGTCACCAGCGCCAACTGTGTCCTTACATTCCAGGGAATCGCATACACAGGAGGATATCGTGAGTAGATACATTTCAAGGATCGATGCATGGTAAAAGGTAACTCAATATGATATAATGTATTTGGTGCACACTTGTATTGTATTAATGTATCATGAGATGGTCCATTTGATTCTTACATACATCGCCGAAGTACAGGAAGGAATGATTGATATTCCCCACTTACAAAGAGGCATGAAACCCTGCATATTTCCTGCATTTCCCGAGATTTTAATTTGGACATAAACATACTGTGTTTTCAGTTTATGGTTTGGTTCCATATAAGCTTAACAGCACTAAATATTATTTTGAACCGAGCGTAAGGTATGGCGCTGTATGTACTTATTACTTCAATAAACATTATCCACCGTGGTAGTGCGGACGTCAAATGAATAGTTTCAAACAGTCGTGGTTATTAGCATTTGAAACCTCTAACTGACCAATCAAAATCGCGTATCTCCCAAATTTATGGTAGCTTTGCCTTCAATCAAGTTCCCAACAAGATAGAGTTTATAATGTCATGTATTGCTTTTCTACAGCTCCAGATACAGAGGCATATTTTAACGGATATAAAGTCGGCATCACGGATCCAGCTGTTTTCGACATCCCCCTCTCCTGTTAGAAGCAAGATAGCTACAGTCATCGCAGTTCATCTTATATCCCTGATTGTTGTCTGTTTCACGTTAAAATTTACAAATGAATTTTCATCATTAAATATTTTTCAAAGTAATGTTATGGGAAGTTTTGTTATCAATTATTGGTATAACATCACACGATCTAGAGTTATGAATATAGAGTTAACAATATTAAGAGTCTGTTTATACATTACATGGATTTGTACGTGCCTGTATATCAGTGATAATATATATATGTTTGTCACCGGGAAAGATGGGTCAAATTCTCAAAACTAATATAAACGTATAGTTCGGCAGCGTTGCTACATGGGTTTTTTCACACATTCGTTTGGGGCTGCTATTCGAACAGGGGCACCCGTTCTTTCAGTTAGCAAATGAGTATATAAACGTTGTCCTTCTCTGAAGTTTCCAAGGGGCTATGTAGAGCACGACACGCCTATATACGATAAAAGAAATACATAATTTCCAAGGTCATGAATGAGTGATATGTTTCACGCCGCCTTCGCCGCCATACAATGTTTCAGTTATATCACGGCGTGCCAGCTCCATTCAGCGCATTAACACAACACAAGTCCCGCCCATTGTACTATGAGCCAATCAGTATTATTGGTCAATCAAAGATTTCTATTCGCAATAAACAATAAACACCTGTTTCACTGACAGATGTGTGTTTCTTTTAGTTAAGACCCCTCAACTCCTAACTGTTTGATTGGCAATTCTAGAAGGTGTTTTGTAAGTAAGGAAAACATACATCTTTATGGATAACAACTACTGGTTTATTGCATTTAGGGACGTTTCGATATGGATTCCTACACCTTTATCAAGCTCCAGGTGTATGAATTCACATGGAAACGTCGCTAAGTACGTTATTACCGGAAACTGAAATCCATATTGTTGTATGTTTTCTCATCCGTAACCTTCGGTAATCAAGATGCATGTACATGTAATTCCCACGGTACAATGACCCGCACTGAAAATGTTACACGACGATTCTACGATAAAATTGCATTCTTAACATGTGTTATATATAATATAATAACTGTCTGTAGCAAATGCTAGGTGTTTAACAATTCATTGAACAAGTGATCAAGCAACGCGATTGAGTTCATATGATGACAGTTGGCTTGTTTGGCTATCGATGGTTTCAGTGCACATAAGACAATAAACAACATACGTATATCACCTGGTATATACCTTAAGTTTTCAGTAAGAGAGTATTTTAATGCTTCTTAATTATAATGTAGCTAGTCTACCAGAACCGTTGTTATGACGTTGTGACGTTGAACACTTGATAGTCACCTCATCGCCATGGGAACTAGTTGCACTTCCAAAACAGATCAAAATACCACAAATACAGATATTTCCCTTTTGACACGGTACAGATTTTTATGTATCGTAATGTTAATGTATATTTTTTGTTTGATTTGTCCGGATGAATATCATTTGATTTTATGTCGGTTTTTACTTTAGAAAAAGAATCAAAATCTACAGATTCGTCATTAAGGACTCTAAATATGACAATAACATTTGTGTTATATGTGTGACATAGTATATGTTAGTGTGACACCTCAACTCTACACTAATGTTGCATCAGTTATCAATGAGCCAGGGGGCACGGGTGGTCATGTCGTATAAGGCGCCGAAATTTGATGTGCATAGTTGCGTCCCTTAGGTACACCAGAAACCTAAGATTGTGGGTTCAAATCCGGGTTCACCCAAATTACTTTTCTAGGTTTATTAGCATCTTAAACGTGATTGTGGGTTTCACCAAAGTGATAAACGTCTGACACCTCGGGCTTTTCTCCCCACCTTTAATTGACGCGTCGCGATGTAACTGGAATCTTGTTCAAAGCGGCGTTCAACCTAACACACTCACTATCAATGAACCCTATGTCGGCTATTTGTTTGACAGTTATACATGCAATAGTCCAATCGACCACATGTCAAGATGGACCGGAGGAAGCCAAAACAAACCAGAGAAATGTCATAAAAACAATTTTTAGTTTTGTATTTCTTTGTGTCTGTTTTCTTCTTAGTCACCGACACATTGTTACACACATCTCCAAGATCAGCCCCTTTCTTGCTGCATGACGTCTTATATTGACACAGTTGGCAGCTGGAAATATGAAACAGGTCTGAGCTCCGAAGTCATAGCGATATACTGTTTCACTTTTACCATCCGACGGACACTGGTCCCTAATACATAGCAAAGATTCCGATTCCGATTCCGATGCGTTCCATCATATTATCCGTCTGAAGTACAACCATGAGCTAATCCTATGCCTTATAACGTCAGTCAGATCCAAGATTGGTACGCGGGATTCGGGAATCTATTTAGAGGGTATTCGGGACTTAGCAGTGGGTTCGAGAGACACACATAAAATCGTACTTTGTACGCAGATTCAAAATTCTAAAAAAACATGACAGGTGAACTTAACAAAATCGTTTATATATTTGAGGTATTAGATATTTTTCTGTAATTTAAACCCAAACCCATACCGCTCTTCCTAGCCAGAAGATCACATACCAAAGACTGTGTTGTATTTTGTTCGAAAAGTCGATTGAACTTCATCTATGAGCCCATACACAGGCAATTGAACTCCCAGTCTTATGGTCACTGCTTTCTCAGTTAGTTTTGAAAGATGAGACACGTGGTTGTAATTTGTAACCTTATATAAGAGCTTTCATGGGAACTATTTACAAAGAAGCTGTAGTGTTCACAAAGGCTCGCAAATATAGACTGCACGAATCTTTGATAAATGAGATAAATTTGACACATGTCTGCAACGCTTTCGTGTTTTCGAAACAAGGCCACTTTTAAAAGAAGTCTGACGGCTGTCTCTTTACGATTGTCAGGAAAATACCAGGAGTAACACTATGACTTACAATATCGCAATTAAAGGCTCTAAGGACTACTTATACTATAGGTTAATGATCTTGGTGGTAGTGACTAGTGATATGTATTGTGTCCCCAGGGGGACACGGGTGGCCCAGTCGTCAAAGGCGCCGCGATTCGCAGTGCAGAGTTGCGTCCCTTGGGCACGCCAGAAACCTATGATTGTGGGTTCGAATCCCAGTTCGCCCCAATTGTGTTTCGGGTTTGTCAGCACCATACCCGTGCTCGTGGGTTTCACCGAAGTGGTAAACGTCTGAGACCTGCATCACTTCGGGCTTTCCTCCCACATTTAGCTGACACGCCGTGATATAACTGTAATACTGTTAAAAGCGGCGTTAAACACAACTCACCCACTCACTATTGTGTCCTCAGAATTTTCAATGTCATGGATATCCGTTAAATTCATCGGTTGTTTGGCCAATTGTTATTTTAAGAATATCCATTAAAATCCTAGGTTGCCGATGCGATTGAATGTCTTGGTCTTCTCGCTTGTAGGAACGGACGCTTTTAATCTATTAATATCGTCAGTGGCATGGATGCGATGCCTGAAATATAACCTGTGATATTCCTGTTTGGATAATTGCGGGTTGAGCTGTGTTTTTGCTAATTATAACCTACATGTACCATCACGAACCATGCATGTGTTGTTCTCGTTTGTCGGTTTGTGAGAACCCGTTTTCTAAATTAGTGCCACACACACCGACTGTCAAACGTGTGCCTAAAGCTCCAGAAGGCATAAGGATGGTGTAAAGCTGAGGGTTAGACAGGTGAAGTTTAGACCCAATGTTGCGCGGGGGGGGGGGTCTCTGCGGGGTGAGAGAGAAGCAGAGGGGTCAATGGCTTACTTGACTGAAGAAATGACAATATCGTCCAAAGGTAGTCGTGCTTAAATTCAATACACTGAACGTGTTGCAACTTTTACTCTTATTTCGCAATATCCACTGCATGTGAATCTTACACCTGGTGAACAGATAAACGGATTAGGGTCCGTTTGATCGAAGCATTGCTATCATGTGTTTGTAATAAGGAACCTTTATATGCTGGCTCCACTGTTTAACCTGCATCAGTATACATCTCAAACGGTTGTCAGTAAGGTCACTTGTTTCACTTACCATAGAGTTCTGTTTCCTAAATTGGAGCTGAAACCTAATCTTTTAACTGGGATTGAATTGAACGCTGTTCCTCATTGTTTTAAGTAAATATATAAAAAGTCGCAGAAACGCATGCAAAGACTATAAAACTAGCGGTCAGTTTATCACCTTCATTCCATCCTACGTTTTCTGTCCATCATGTTGCTGCTCCTGATCACCCTGTCCTGCTTGGCGGCAGTCAAGGCTCAAGGCATACCTTGCTGCATGGAACCTCAATGGTCAGCCACAATGTTCAACGTTCGCGCACTCTCCAAAGGAAATAGCGTAAGTTTATTACAGCGACATTTGCATCCTACCGCTGGGTACAATTATGATGTGTGGCGTGTAAGAGATATAAGTTTGTTTCGTTTCATGTTGTTTAACGCCCCACTTAGC